AAAAATCATTGAGTTAATTCTTTAGTTTTTACCATTTTTTTTAGATTTTCAGAGAAGAAAAATTTATTAAAAAAAAATAAATTCTTATTCTTTTTATTTTTATAATATAAATAAACACTTAAGTATCATGTAAACGCAATTTGTTATTGCAGTCATATGACTTTACTAGCTTTAATTCACGTTATGGAGGGTGTGCGGATACTTTTGTCCACCCTCTGTATATCTATTATGTGATATATATTAATTACAAGCATTATTCATATTTGTTTCTGAAGCAAAAGCTGTATAGGCTATATTATTATATAGGATCTAACTTTAAAATATCATAGTATACGAAAAGCTTTAATAGAAGTAATTCTATCTAGAAAACCTTTAAAACCTGCTATATACATATTTTATGTTTTGAGCTTATTTATTAAAGTATCAATATGAGCATAACGAATGACTTGTCCATTAATATTATGAGCTTATGCTATATTCATTTATTTAGATTTTATTAGTTTGTCAAAAGTAACAATAATATCATGTATTAAATTATAATAATTTTTAAATATATCTTTGATATTATTTATTCTACTATAATAAGATAAAACACAATAAATGTGATATTGAGTGATATAGGAAGGAATAGCTTTGAGTTTATAAATTAGTGTATTGTTATTGTCTAAAGCAAAGTATAGGATATTATACTTTTAGAAATAGTAAAAATTTTAATCACATAAGTATTTCTGTTTATTCTATCATATATATGATAAGATTAGTAAATAAAAAAAATAAACAAAAATAATAAAATAAAATAAAAATAATAAAAAATAATAAAAATAAAAAATGTTTGTTAATTAATTAATAATATAATAAATAATAATATAGATAAGTAAGATAAGCTATAAATAAAGTCATACAAATTTAAGCTATATAATAATACCAAAATAAGGTGTGCAAAAAAATTCAAGATGCTTATTTTTTTGTTGTAAATACTATATTTTTCTTTTAGTAATAATACATTTTCTAGATATAGCATTTGTATTTTATTTATTTATTTAGTATTATATTTATTATACATAATATATAAATAAAGAAAAAAAGTTCAGTTTTTGTAAAAATTACATTTTCAGATTTGTCATAATTGTTAATTTTTCTTAGCAATAAAATACAATAATAAAATACAATAAATAAAAAAAAATTAGTTTTTAGTTTCGAGATATTAAGGAAGCTAAATATTCTTCTTCTTCTTTCCTTTTTTTTAATCTTTTACATTTTCTAATACGTTAGAAACTCTTAAAATTAAAGGGCTTAAAAATAAGATTACTGTTAAGATCTACTACAATCTTTTATAACATGAGACCTTGGCTTTTATGTATTGTAATTACCTACACAAGATGAAGAGGAATCTGTAGACATAAATATATCTCAGACTTATTCTCTCAGATATGTTAAATAAGTATAATTAGAATAACTTTTATATCTTTTAAGCTGATTATGGTGAATCCTTTGAAATTATTCAAAAGAAACAAAAACTGTCACAGGAACTAAAGGTGATACTGGTCTTCTCTAAACAGAATATCTATAGTTCCCATTAAATTATTAACTAATTCAGCTTTTATTTATAAGTTTGAAGTCAGCATAATTCGCAAACCTCTTGCTAATAAAAACTTTGCTTCAAGTTCATGTGTAATATCAAAATCAGCTTTTTTAGATTTATTTTTACCTGTATGTATAGCAATAATTATGGTAATAAAAGTATTTAAAAACCTAAGCTGATCTATGTTGATTGCATTAACATTAGATTATTTTATTAGAATAAACATAACATTAGAAATCTATTACGCTTTATTCTACTTAGATTTCTTTTAAATTGTATAGCAAGTACCTTTCAATCAGTTAATATAGACTTTCCATTATGCAACTGTAAGAAGATTTCTAAAGTTCTATTATTCTTTAATATTTTCAGATTGATATTAAATAATATCAAGTTTATTATGCTTCTTTAAACTGATTATATGCTGTAAAGCTATTATTAGATAATAGATCTCGTAAAATACTAATATATATAGGAAGATCAAAAACAGGCAGAATTTGTCTGAAATCACTGAATAAAATAATTGATTTACCACCAAAGTGTTCATTATTGTATTCAGAAAATGCTTATTGAAATTTTATATTGACTAGATTAAGCATTTGATAACTAATCATACTTATCTCATCAATTATAATATATTTCATATTTTGTAACCTATTTTGTAGCTGCTTCAATCATTCTCTGTTATGTCAAGAATTTTATCGACAATTATTGAAATGGAAAGAGTTAAATGAATCATAATTTTATTGATATTGAAAGCTGCAATACCTATTAAGTCAATAATAAACATAAGTGACTTAGATCCATCCATTTCTTGAAGTCTATTTTGAATTACATCAATAAGGTAAGTTTTACCAGTCTCACAGTTTCTATCACAATGATTCTTAATGATTCAACTTGATAGCTTTTAAGTATATCATTATAATGAGATTTTATTCGCTCAAAAATTTTCTTTTATTTCTTGTTTAATGTCTGATACAGTTAAAGCTCTCTATAGCGAATTTCTATATTCTGAATTTTTTATTACTGCAAATTATATAAGTGGTCCTAAATTTTATTAAATAAAATAATTAAATATAACGAATTTTTATAATAAAACTTACTATTATATATAACGAATTGAAGATCCTGCACAAAGTATAATAAAATGAAACTTTCATTAATGAATTTTTTTATAACAAATTTTTATATTAAATTTAAGGGATATAATGAATTTTTTTTCTTAAATTACTATTAAAGAAAATTATACATTGTAAAATTTCAATAAAATATAAATTAATATTATGCAATTTTTTTTTGATTAATCATTTATCGTTATTAAAAATGCCTAAAGAAAAAGGAAAAAAATTCTTTTAAAAATAAAGGAAAAACTTCTGAAATAAAACGAACTAGAGCTTCCCTTACAGGTATTTAAAAATAGAAAGTTTATTTAAAAAATTACAAAAATCAATACCTAAAAATAAGGAACTTGTCCAAGAATTTAATGTTTCAGAAGGAATGATAAGCGATATTTTAAAAGAAAGTGAAAAATGGTTAGCTTTAAAACTGGAATCTTATGAAGCTTTACTTAAAAAACAAATTAAACTAAATTTTCTATAAGTTGAAGAAGCTTTAAGCTTTTAGGTTAAAAAAGTAATAGATAATAATATTACTATTAATAGTGTATAAAAAGCATATAATTTTGCAACCTTACTTAATGTAAGACTTTAAAGGATCAGATGGATGGGTGGTAGATTTTAAATAACGTTATAATCTTGAATGCTACTTAAGACATGGCAAGGCAACAAGTGCTCCTTTAGAAGATTTAGATGATATGCGTAAAAATCTTCAAAATATTCTTATAGATTATTCACCTAATGACATATTTAATGTAGATAAAACTGAACTTTATTGGAAAATGGAGCCAAATTGTACTTTATCAACTAGATCAGGTAAAAAATTAATGTTAATTAATGTAAATTATTATAAATAATTATATAAAAAATTAAAATAATACTTATATTAGTTGCAAGTCGAAAACAATTTAAAGAACATGTTACTGTAGCATTATGTTGTAATGCTTTAGGAACTGAAAAGGTCAAGGCAGTTTTTATTGGAAAAAGTCAAAATTTACGTGTTTTAAAATATATTCTAAAATTATCACTACCTATACAATATTATTGGAATAAAACAGTTTATATGCAAGTTAGTATCTAAAATGATTGGTTAAACCTTTTTAATATATGTCTAAAACTTCAGAATCATCATATAATCTTACTTTATGATAGTGCATCTACTCATATTTTACATGAAGATACTACACTTTTTAATATTCGTCTTTATAAGTTATCTCCTAATACAACTACACATCTTCAACCATGTGATACTGGAACTATTAGAAGTTTTAAAGTAAGTAATTTTAATAAAATTCATATTATAAAATAAAAATCAACTTAATAATACATAATTTATTATATAAGCACAATATCAGAAGTTATTTTTGCAAAATTATATTAAAGCATTTGATAATAATCAAGAAACTGGTCAGCCTATACCTGAAATTACAATAAAAAAAGCAATTAAATATGTAGCAAAAGCATAGGATTTGGTTCAACCAGAAGTAATTGTAAATTGTTGAAAAAAAACAGATATTCTTCTGTTAAATACTGATAATGATGAAAACATTGATGTTGATGATTTTGTTGATTTTACAGATTTTAATGAATATGATGAAATTAATAAAATACAAGATTTTATTGATCAATTAACTTCTAATATATACAAAAATCCAATTCCTGCTAAAGAATATTTACAATCTGAAAAAGAAGAAACAATTCATCAGATAATAACTGATGAGAAAATTATAGAATTAATGAAAGAGCTAGAAGAAGAACCAAATAATGAAGAACCAGAAATTTCTATTATCAGTAATTATGAAGCATTAGCAGCACTTAACCAAATAATTATATATGCAGAACAAAAATCTGATAAAATTGATTTTTCAAAAGATCAAATTCAGGCAGTAAAATTCTAATCTAAATAGCAAATTACGTTAGATTCATGTTTGGAAAATATGAATAGGACTAATACTAATAAATAATAGGATATATTTAACAGGTTGAAAAGATTTTTTTTAATTTTTTTTTTGCGATTTTATTGTAATAAAGTTACGCTGAATTTATAACCAATAAAAATTGATCTTCTGAATATATAATAAAAATGTAAATGCGTCATGATTTTCTATTATAATTATATACTGAATTTAAATATGATATTTGATATCATTTTATAGCGAATAATCTTTTAAAATTTGGTAAAACATTACCAAATTCTTTTATTATAATGAATTGTGACCTCCAAAAATAAAGATTCACTATAGAGAGCTTCAACTGTAATAGTTTCTATCTCATTCTCTTCATTTTCTTGCTTATTATTAGAAGCTTTGCTCACAAAGATATCAGCTTCCAGAAGATCTGTATCAGAGTATCATTGCCTAACATCATTCTAATTATAATTTTGATCCATATTCTAGTGATCCTAGATTAGTAGAACAATTAATAATTGCATTCAGATGCATTCAATCAAGTCAGAATTGATCATTATCTTCTTCAAGCCATTCATCATCATTCCATCATTATCAACAATTTTTATTTTATTATCTACAGCTGGTCTAAGTAGATCAATCAGATCAATATTGATCTCTTTAATATGGCAGTCATATAGAGCTGATCATAGAATAGTTCTATTTTCTGTCAATTATTGAAGGTCTTGATACTAAACATGAAGAAAACCTTTACACGATAAACTCTTCTCATTAAGAATCTTGTATAAGAATAATAGATGTGAAAAGATATGTACTATATTTTTTTGATTACATTTATAATGTTCTTTTACAAATTTATGAGTTAAATTCAGCTAAAATAATATATAATCTTCAAGTTCAGCAGATCGATTTCAATATATTTTTAAAGGTAATTTTTCTGTCTGTCTAGAATTAAATATAGAGAATACATCACTTTTTCCAGTTTTGTGAATCTATCTTGATATTTCTTTATTAATATTTAAGAAAACAAATGACCTGCTTGAATGATACAGTAAAGACTAAGAAGAAGGTGATAAGTTTCTTAAGTAGAAATATCACGTTTTGATACACTGTAGAGAAGTAATTTTTAGACTGAAATAAGTATCAATTTATCAGCACTGCTTTTATTAAGAATTCAATTTAGTATTTATAAAAAAGTTGCAGATTGAAGTTCCTTTTTACTTGTATACTTTGCGATATATTGCAAAGTAATGTGAATACTCAGAATCAGTTTTAAATTAATATTGCTCTCTAACTCTGTAATTGAAACTGGCTGCAACTATTAACGAATAAATTATTTCTCGCTGTTACAAGCTGATTAATCACAATTATTATCATGAATAAAGGTGCATTCAATAATTTCTTTAGGGTATCTGAGCCTATAAGATTACTTTCTATCTTTGAGATGAAGATAATATGAAGACAATATGAAGGATTGCAACATGTTTATGATATTACAATTTATTGATTAGGTCAATATAATTCTGCTGATCATCTAATTATTCATTTTTACTTTTTTTATATAGATGCTGATCAGGTACAGGTGTATCAAGTCCTGGATTTATTGTTATAGTAAGTGTATCAAGATACTATATTACTTTTGCCATTGTGTTTTCATTTTTTTTCATTTTATTTTATTCTATTTTAAATGTATTTCATCTTTTTCTGATCTCATGCATATAGACACTACCTTAGTGCTACCACTCAAACCTGTATCACCAGTCTTCTAAATCCCACTGGCTTTTTAATATATCATTAAAAAAAATTTTGAATCTCTTATTAAAGAATCATACTGCAATATGAGGGTTATCAATGATATTTTGATTATTATTTGTGAGTTATTCATTAGATAGCATAAGGTTATGAAGTTCAGGCTAGTGCAGGTCAGCACTGAATATAAAGAATATCAATCCTTATAAGCCTATCATCTAATCATATCAGATAGTTCTTAACGTTATGCATTTTAAAATTACTAAGAACTACATAAACTCTCATCATATTATATTATTCTATTAGTAATATAACTATTCTCTTGGCTAATCCCTTTAAATATTCATAACAGTAATTTAATCATCAGTAAAATTTTGTTTAATATATATCTTCGCCTCTTGTAGTGTTTACCAATGCATTTGAAAATTTAATATAAAGTTAACAAGCATGTTAAATAAGATTTTCATCTTTATATAAGAAAAGATGCTTAAAGTATTTAGCAGATTTTACATCTTTTATACGTTCTGAATAAAAATCTACATGTTTAATTAGATATAAATTGGAAACACATATGTAATATACTCTGATGTTTGAAATTTATTTATAGAATTATTGTCTATTTGTGATCATTCCATAAAACTGCATTCGTTTGTAAATGATCAAGAGCATTTTGAATAATAATATCTTTATAATATGTTAAAGACAAGAGTAGAATAAAAGTTCATATAATTATATAATCTTTCTTATCATCTTTCAAATCTTTAGCAACTATTTTATTTTGAAGCTGGCCATCAATAGAACCATTAATAGGCAAGTTTGAAGAATTTTATTATTAATGATAATATTCTTATAATAATGATTATTTTCTTTTAACCAAAATAATGTATAAGTAACCTTAGCATGTCAGACTCTGAAATCTTTAACTCCATTATTTGACAATTGATGATGTATAATAAGCATATCTAATAATAATGAATCTTAAGAAAAATGAGTGGCAAATCCTTGCATATCTTATAGAAAGTTGATTACATTTTTACAGTATCCATACTGTTCTCTATGAAGTCTGAAAATTAACATTACAGAGAAAACTCAAATAATCAGCATTTTCTCAATTTCTGTAAGTCCTTAAAGCTCTTAAAACACTTCATCTGGATCCATGTCATTTTCTAATGAAAATTTCTTTAGTGATTTCTTTTCTTGTAATATTGATAACATTCTCTTTATATAAGTATTATAGTTAGAAATCTCTTATCGCATATAGGACAAAGAGAATATTCTAATTTATCTACTTTATTACAAAATTTCTGCAGAAGACTTTCGTCAGATTTACTGAATGTAAAAGCAGGAGATGCCTCATATGTGTTTTCACCACTATGACCTTGATTCATAGGTTAGACTTGTTACTGTAACTTTGTAGTTTGAGTGACCTTATTATGCAAATAATTATTTTCTAGCTACCTTTCATATTATAGATTAGTTTCTATTGCTAACTTTAGCTATTTTCATTTACGGTCATATACATGTCTCATATCTCAGTCTTCAACAGATTCTGCTACTTTTTTTTTAGCAGTTTTCTCACATTGCTTTCTAATGTGTATCTCACAATATCAGATGTCTCATTTTCTCTTATTTTTCACTTTTTAACTATACTGCTGTAATCAAAAATTTTTGTTTCTCATTCTATCAACAAATAAATATGTGTTAACAAGAAACTTTTAAATACTTTTACTATTGTGGCTTAAATGTAACTTGTGCATATGCATGTATAACATATGTATTATATGATCAATAATTGTAAACTTTAAATTAACTTTATTTTATAACAAATATTATATAGGGAAATAAAAATAAAATTACAAATTTATTTACTATAAAAAATAATAATAATAATTATAAATACAGTCAACTCTTTTTACAATGAATTTTGATATAACAAATTTTACAATATAACAGATTTTCAGTGTCAAACAGATTTTTAAATATAAAAAAACCCTTATTATATCAAATTTAGTAATTAAAAATTCATATTACATTTAACGAATTAAAATCAAAAAAATTTATATATAAAATGACTCTTTTTATAACGAATTTTCTCTATAATAAATTTTTTTTTGATACAACAAAGTTTTGCTTAAAATGAATTTTACTAGATTAATGTGTATAAAATTTTGTAGTTCTCTGTACCTAGTTTTTAAATAAAATTAAAAATGAATAAATATTTGAGTTATGCATTATGTCTTGTATTTCATATTTTTTTTACATATTTTATTTTTTACGCATTTTTTTTCTTTGTATAATGCCAATAATGCTAAAAGTAAACTTAAAGAAACAACTTAATCAACTTACTAATAAACAAGATGAACTTTTAAAAAAAAATAAAGTCTCTTACAGCTGCACAAAAAAAAGAACTTTGTTTGAAAAAAATATCATCATCTTTTTTAAAACAAAAAGACTTGGCTAATAAATATGATGTTAGTGAAGACATGGTAAGTGACATTTTAAAGAAGAAAAACTGTTAGCTTTCTGTAGATACCAATTCATACCAAGTCAATTTGAAACGTAATAAGAAAATTCCATTCCCTCTTGTTAAAGAAGCGTTAGTAATATGGGTAGATAACGTACTCAAAGTTAGCCTTATTATTACTGACAATATTCTTTTAATAAAAGCCTTAAGTTTTGCTTTTTTATTAAAAGAGAATAAGTTTAAAGGGTCTAGTGATTGGGTGGATAACTTTAAAAAATGATATAACCTTAAACAGTATATTATACACAGGAAAGTCACAAGTGCGCTGTTCAAAGATCTCAAAATAATGAGAGAAAATCTTTAGCAAATATAGTCCTGAAGATATATTCAATTGTGATGAAATAGGACTGTTTTAGAAGATGAAACCATATTGAATGATATTTAACGAACAAACATCAGAAAAGAAATAATCAAAGGATCATGTAATGATCCTACTCATATGTAATACAATGAGAAGTGAAAAGCTGATGTCTTTGTTTATACACAAGTATGAAAATCCAAGGGTTATCAAGAATATTGATAAAAGAACGCTTCTAGTTGAATACTATTAGAACTAAAAAGTTAAATGTAGGTTTCAATCTGAAATATAGATGCCTGCCGAAACCTTTTCAAAATAATTTCGTCATACCCTTTTCTATGTTTTTAATATAGTTTTGACAGTTTTGGCTTTCGTCGTATTGAAAGGGTTTCGTCGTATTCCTTATTATGATTTTAATAT